CAGCAAAACACAGCACATTTCACCACAGAGGTTGGAATGACGTCACTGTCAAAATTGCATAACCGTGCAGCGTTATCTGTTCACTACAACCCTATACCAATGGGCTGTCTAGAGATACGTTGTCATATGTAGACAGGTGAGTACGTTTCACAGTAGTCCTCGTTCATACTGTATGTTTATTACAGAGTAACAAAACAATAAGCAATCTAGAAGTAGTGACTGGTGAACCATGTGTACATGTAGAGAGAGAAGAGTGAGAACTGAGAAGGTGAGTGGTGCACAGAATGGTAGTATGGTAGCATTGTATTTGTTTTGTTCATATTAAATTCGAATCGTTTTTATTCAGCTAATCTGGAGCATGACTCAGCGATTTTTGTTACTGTTTTCGAATCTCAAATTTGGACAATATCGTCCATATATTATAATTATTGTCATCTTCTAAAAGTACAGACCATCCGCTGACCGCTGTGGAGACGTGCGCCGGGCCTCCAATTTGGCGCACGTCTCCAATGCGGACAGCACTTCATACTTCTACATCGCCCGCGGTCGCGTGCGCATATCGCGCGGAACTGTGCGTCTCATCCGCGCGCAGCGCTCACGATCAACAGCAACGCTGTGCTACGCAATCTTGTATCATGTCTCTCTGGATAGATCTCAACGAGTACATTACAGTGATACTTGAACGGTTGAGGATGAGGTTGGTAGAGGGGCCCCAGAGTTACTTATCACTATCAGTTATAGCGATTTTAGTGACCGTCTTTTTTGAAGAGATACAGCACTCTAGAATTTTAGGGATATTATCAGGACTGGAGTGTCGTAATATAGAGAACTATGACTCGCTCAAAACAAGAAATTCAACATTTCCATTCCCTAGTTTACCTATGATTTATTATGTGAAACTCAATAAAAATGCCATCAGAAATAGCGTTGTACATCCCACTTGCCCTCATGCTTTACCTTCTTTCGATACGTCTTCTTAAAGGGACAGTAGCCTCTAGGATTTTACTGCATACAACTGTACTTACTGTATAAAAAATCATCTATTCCCACACGTATTTGTTACCAGATACCTAATTTAATTGTTATGTAGCGTTTCGTGTCTCTCTGCGACACCTGAGGGCGCCACCTGACGATACGCAGTAACTAGCAGTTTACCTTACGTATGGTGCAGTGCAACACGGTGGATAGTGGCAACGAGAAATACAAGATAGATACTCCTACCTTGTGTGTCGTATCGTCGCCACCCGGTCTCCACTCCCTCACGAGCGCCTCAGTGCTACTGCGCTCTCTCCGGACGCGGCCAAACGCCTCCCCCAACGGGCAAGCTCAACCCCTCCGCAAGCACAAGGCCCGCGGCAACCGGTACCACCGCCACAGTTATAATTAATTACACATCAACGCTACGAAATTTGAACGGTGCCATGACACCCGCGACCGTGCTGCCACCCCGAAAAAGTTGCGTATTTGACAATTTATTTTGCACGTTACAGACCGAGGGCTAATCACAAAAGTGCAATTATATTTATACCTAAATGCTATTTAACCAAACGATATTCATTTTAGGGCAAATTTATCCATATTATAACTGAAACTATATGTCGTTTATAAGATATTACAATCCTTTTGCTTTTAAATGAATAAATAAGAAACACCCTCGGTCTGTAGCTCTTGGCTGGAAAGTGGTTTTGCGCAACTTATCAGATCGTGCGCTTTGAGTGGCGCCACCGTCGTTGTAATCAAACTGTAGTCGTTAGTTTTAAAACATTAAAAAAAAATATTTCTAATGGTGATTGAACCATGAAACTTTTTATGTAGCGTAATTATAACCTAAATTAGCTGAAAATCCCCCTAGAACCTAGAAACTCTTCCTTTAATTATGTAGTTATAGCTTCGAATGTCAGACATGGTTTTAGTCATTCACCTAGTCAAGCGGTAGGCACCTTGGCCGATGCAAGTAAACAATTGGCACCTCGCAGCGCTGTTGACGGGTCAGTTATAATATTTATGTTGTTCAGGTTTTAGTGTGTTTTTTTGGAATGGAACTATCACAAACTTTCTGAGACAAGTGAAATATCAAAAGTATTAACAATAAAAATTATTTGAAATGGCTGCTTTCGTCAAAGTGCGCAGTGCATGTTGGGGTGGCCCTGCAGCGCATTCTGAGGTAGCATGCAATGCACTACTGACATCACCAGGAGTTGTGTATTTAAAAGGTAAGCCTTGGTTTGCACAGCCAAAGAGGCATGTGGAGATTTGGAACTGTTCGAGAGACTACACACGTATGTTAAGGATACTCTCAAGGTTTTAGGCAAAATTTTACCGATTTTTCATTTTCAACTTTATTCGATGCCTAACACTATGTGCCGCCTCTGTACATGCTCATTTCTCCATATAACGGTACATGTGAACTTCCAGAGAGCGTTTTGATTGCCCGCATACATGTGTAGTGAGCCGCGGCTGACGTCATGATGACGTCAGAGACAGGATACAACCAGGATTTTCACGGTACTCACTAGGCTATAACCATCAGGTATCATTCAGCATCTACAACTGTCTTCTACAGTGATAGTTGAAATTGCCGTGCGACCGAAAATAGCCATGTTCCCCTAGTTACACACCTTGCATTTAGGCGTGCGTTTGTTGACATGTGCAGATTTGTGACGTCATGCATTGGGCGTGTTTGGCGCGTTTCGGATCATGGTGTGTGGGAATCTCTTAATTTCTTACAATTTCTCAAGGTGCATAGAAGATTTAATAAATTTAGTGGTTGCAGTTAGTCATGGATATGTCGCAGTAAGTACTAACAGTAGATATTTCACATACGCTCACACATTTTTCACACAGGCGGTCGATCATTGTGAAAAATAGAAAAACGCCGATTTCTCCGTTCCGATTTCTGACATAGTAGCCGATGTATAAATGGGTATTTCTCTGTGATTTCAACTCGGAATACACTCGTTTTAATGGCAACATATTGCTGTAAAAAAAAGGGCGTCAGGGATTGTTATTAAGTGCCGTATTTTATGAGTTATGTCTGTTTATTCGCTAAAATTTTAAATTCAAACGTGCGACTTGAATTTTAGGCAGTTTTTTTCATTTTTCTCGGTAAATATGAAACAAAGAAAAATCCTGATGCCCTTTTTTGGTACATATTGTGCTTAACATGTGGCGAAAAATGTTGCATCCTCACTCTTTCTGGTAATTGAGAAATATCCATAATAGCATTTTTACATAAAAATTCAAAATTTGTGTGGTAACATAATTAGGTGCTGGAAATTTCATGAAATTTTTTGGCTTGAGCATAGAGATATATCTCCTTTATAAATAAAACAAGTGATTGATTCGATTCATTCATCAATAAACGTTTAATCTTCATTAGAGCAATACCCGTGCAAAAGGTGGAGAGTATCCTTATAAATCTACACATACATGCCTGGCCAGAGGTATCATCTATCAAATAAAATGGATACAGATATTTGGATAAAATTTCACCCACAACCCTTAAGTGTATCCTGAAGCACGTATGGTTAGGCCCAGCCATATGAACAGCATATAAATTACTTCTACTCAAAATATAATCTTATATCTCTCAAAAAATATCTTTTAGTTACTTTATAAGTACTTCTACTCAAAATCAAATGTGCGTGCACGCACTTACAACAAAGACGCACATGCACGTACGCACGCAATGCGTGTACCTGTGTGTACATTGTAATTTGGTAGTGAATAGATAATTTGTGTGATGCATGTGATTCTTATCTTTCTAATAATGTTTTTTTATTACAGCTGAGACATTGGTTTAACTTAAATGCACGAAGTTACAATGAATGGTCTGGGGGACCTCAGCCAGAAATTTTTTGAAATGTAACTAGCACATGTGCCATTTCCAAGCACCCTGGGATCTTTCACCAAGTTTTCTTATTCAATTGCGTCGTGATTATCTGACCTAAATCGGAATTACAGGTGGTCAGTAAATCGTGTATGTCAGATAAAGATGAAACGTGGATGGGGGAAACAAATTGTAGATTAAATACATATGAAGTCTGAATTATTCATAATCATTCTAAAGTATAACTAAAATCATAAAGCACAGAACTATTGTTAGCAGGGGTAGAAATTAACTTTTGAACAAGAGAGTCCAATGGACTCCCTACCCTCAAAAAGAGGGAGTCCGCAGTCTGAGGTTCAAAATTAAAGATATTAACAATAACGCATGTGCTTATTTTTAAGATTCATGCAGTTGCACGTCTCCCAAATTTTCTTTGGACATTACCGCGAGGCCGTGCTCCGGAACGAACTAGTTGGTATGGCAGAATTTTGAGGGAGTCATACGGACTCCTACATATATGTCAAATCAGGGAGTCCGACAGTAAATCAGGGAGTATTTGACTCCGGACTCCCGTTAATTTCGCACCCTGCTGTTAGTAAATTGTGATTAAAGTTTGTTTCCTAGACTTGCCTCTCTTCCTTGTAGCAGGGTTCCTCTAGCATCTCAATAGCTTTGCATCAGTAGCAGTTGCTTTCCCTTGTTGCTCAGTGTACGTTAGTGCAGCAGTATGTGATGCACTGAAATACAATGCAGCATATGATTGACTTTATTAGAGTATGCGCCAGCGCTCAAAGTGGCTGGTAGCTGCTGGGTCGCCAGGCAACTGAAAATGCCGTGGGTTGAGGGAAACCTGTCTCAACGCATGTCCCCAGCCTCCCATTAACTATTGGCCGATTAACTTTTTGGCCAATTATGCAATATGTCTACCGTGTTAGGAGAGAATAAGAAGCATTGTAAGTATGAAGGGCATAGAAGCTAAGAATTGGCAAAAATTATGGTTTTGTGTACATATAGGATTTTATGTTGCTATATTACTTTTATTTTCCTGAAGTATAGCAGTACGCAGCCAGGGTGTGATAACACTCAAAGTCCATGCGACCTGCCTCAGGGCAGGAGTTTTGTATAATAAAAAAAGGATATTTAATTTCCAAAAAAAGTACTTTTATAAATGTATTTTGAAAAAGTAGGGACAGGATGCTCCCTGCTACTTCCGCCACTCAAAATTTAATATTCTATCATAAAGTTATTCTCTGACTGGCTATGTATGGGTTTGGAAGTTCCTTGTGTATTCTGTTTTTTTTTCTTTAATATTGTTGTCTATGTAATTCTTTATCTAGCTGAATGAAAGATCTGCTAGCATAATACTAGTCCTTAACATATACAATGATTGGTCAACAAAGACCATTCTAATGTGGTGCAAAAATCATAATTGATTGTATTTCATTGATAAACAAATGGGATATATTTTATTACTTTATAAGGTGTATCCAAGCGACATCTTACAGCACAACACAGCATGACGAAAAGGGATCAGAAGGAACCCAGACTAGTAACATCCCGGAAACAGGAGGCGAGGGTGCAGCGACGTGTCACGGGGAAAAGGCTGTGCTGGTGGAGGAACTGGAGAAGTCATTCCAGGTGGAAAAAGAGAAGCTGGTGGCTGAAGTAAAGGACATTGATGACAAGTATAAACGCACTCTCGCTGAAGTGCAAAACGTTCGTCAGCGAATGCAGAGGCAGATTGATGATTCAAAGGTGTTCAGCATTCAGGGCTTTTGCAAGGACTTACTAGAGGTCGCCGATATCTTGGGCAAGGCAACAGAGAGCGTTCCTCAGGAAGAACTTACTGACAACAATCCACACTTGAAAAACCTATATGATGGTTTGCTGATGACTGATGGACAGCTTCATAAGGTGTTCAGTAAAAATGGCTTGGCAAGGATTACTCCTGACGTTGGTGAGAAATTCGACCCCAACATACATGAGGCCATGTTTCAGATTCCATCAGAGAATATAGCAGTCGGGAATATTGCAGTGGTTGTGAAAGTTGGTTACAGTTTACACAGTCGCACTCTACGGGCAGCTGTGGTTGGTGTAGCTAAAGCACCATAACCTAACGTGCAAGACTGTTTGAGACATGACATTAGAAAAATGACTGGAGCCCCATTGGGTGTTGAAGACATCTGCTTTCATGCTCCTACCTTCATGCATCAGACAAAATATAGGGAAAATTCAGATGGATATAATTAAGACGTAGGCCTGACTAATACGAGTTTTACGCTGTGTTTATAATTTGTTACAGGATCATTTAAAAGGTGATCCTGATGTGAAAACCAGTGTGTAGCTCAGTTATATTTCTGTAAAAATATAAATAGCCACCATCACTGTCAGCATTAAGAATAATCATGATTGTTATTCTGTATGCTTTTAAAAAGTGTACACACGTATATAGTAAGCTTCAGTTTACTAGAATGGCTAGATTGGTTTAAACTAAAGTGCTAGTACATGCGGCTATGAGTTCTCATATTTAATGTGTCCATCTGTGATTCATGGTTTTTAACATGTAGTGTTACAATAGAATGCAATGAGGTACTGTGAACTATTGTTACCGGTACGTTGGTTATAAAAATCGCTTTATTTGCCATGTATGACAAAAAGTATTTATTGTAACTGACTTTCCTTTATGAGGCTCAATCCTTTTTCATGAATCCTATCATAACGCACAAGAATATTCTGAATAAAATTATTCAGTCAATAACATTCATCACATAATTTTCTACTCTATAATAGGTTTGATTTAGCTATTACAAGCTGGGATCATAAACGCATTTGTGATCAGCAGGCTGCTACATATTTTTAGCATAACTCCCAGTAAAGGATATACTAGTGGTAAAGCAGATTGCTAAAAACCATTTGAAATTCCTTAACACATTAAGTTTGGCTTATTGCCCAAAAATCTTACATGGGCACAATAAATTATTAAAATAAGTAAACACGTGTAATATAATGATATCCTTTTACTCCAACTCATAAAAACTTGTTGAACTTCAGCATATCAATGGAGACCAAACTACTATTTATTAGATGACATCGAAATGTACACCTATTTAGTGAAATGATTTATGAACACGCACGCACGCGAACACGGACAGTCACGCGCAGGGCGTTCACGCGCACATGAGTGAATAAAAAACAATTTTGTTACTTATTATATTAAACCTCTGTCGTGTTGTACAAACATAGTTGACCTGCGTCTACTTCTGACAACGTAGCGTAGTACAGCCCTGATCTTAGTGTTTAGTGTTGGCAAGTGGCAACGCCGCACATCTAATTAAAATGTTGTGTTGTACACATACGGTGGAGTTTCATACTATTTCTGATTATTTTTAAGAATTATAAATGTATTGTGACTGCCCGTCACTGCGGCTTCTGTATATTATACTATGAACATTCACGGGTTCACTAATTCCCGTATTTTCCAGGAACGTAACCCCTACGATAGGCGACGGGTCACTGTATATTCAAAATTCACCCTATTGCTCGGGGAAATTTTGAAAAGGCATCTGTGCAGCAACCAAAATTCTATTGTGCCAATGTGCGAACATTGTATCACTAACTCATGAACTCCGTGTGCTCGCGATTGTATACATGCATACATTGTATCAGGGGGTTAATAATGACAAATAATGACAAATAATGACAAATTATTAACCCCTGATTGTATCAATGCTTTCATTACATACATAGTAACAAGAGCTAATAATACTAATAAAAGAGGCATTATTAGCTCTTGATAGTAACATGTGCATACATCATCAAACTGCAGAAGTACTATTGTAGCCAGCTCGTCATGTGGTGCAATTTTGTCTGGTTCCTTTTGATGAATATAATCATCGAGCTTACAGATATCAACTACAGACTGTCGGCCCACAAGAGGACTCACATACTCTCTGTGAGGGCCTGTGATCACTATCATTGCTGGTGTAATACCGATTGTGCATATATCATGCATATTGCATGATATACGGCTACGCATCAGAACACGGGAATTTTGCGAACATGAAAAGCAACAGGAAAGCATGATTACGCCACAGTTGTATTGGATTCGGAACCAACATAGTTCAACCACGCTTTTGGGTGAAACAATGTGATTTTGAAAAAAAGAAAGCTAATTGCATTCCTCAAGCTAGGCGAAAAATAAATCGGAACAAATTTCTTGTTCCATATTTGTGTTGCATTCTAATTCATTGGCGTAAATAAGCATTTCAAATGTTTTATCATAGACAAATTTACTAATATTGGATGTGCTAATCGAAATAATCGATGTCAGCTCTACAGGAATTTATGATGTGCTTATACTAGGATGTATTACTGATAATGTCATGAACATATCTATACGATAGATGTATATTAGGAGTAAATATTTGGCATTGTCATCTAACTCTTAAATTCCTAGGTTAGGTTATTATTATCTAACTACTGATATGTTTAGATATCTTCATCGTAGCATGGATCTTGTGTTTGATTATTACAGGGCGTCAAATGACAAGTGACGCTCAAAAAATAGGAAAATAGGAATTTCAGATGTGAAAAAATAGGAGGAAAATAGGAATTTTGGTGAGAAAATATATGTTAAATAGGAATATTTTTTGCGTTAGATGGCCTCCCAACACCCCTACAGCAGGGCGGTAGTGGCCGCCACGGCAGCACGGCACTGCCGTGGCACTATTTTGTCCAAAAAAATTGTGCAGGGAACCAAGGAGCAACATATACCAAGGAGATGAAACCCCGGGGGGGGGGGGGCACTCATCCCACATTATGGTAGTATGTGCCACTGCGAAGTCAAAAAATGGGGGGCTCTGGAACTAACTCAGACCGCGAAATGGGGTTGCTCTGGAACTAATTTTGTGAATGTGGTATATGCCTCTGGAACCGCCTATGTTCGAAAATTGGGTGCTCCGGACTAGGATTTCGTTGAAATTCAATGCTATGAACTGGACACGTTTAAAAGAGGGGTCTCCGGAACTGTGGGGGAACAGTGATTTGCTTTAAAATCTATGCTGTAGCACTTGAACCAATATTGTTACCTCCGCGCAACGGAGTTTGCAGGGGAGGTAATGTAATCGGTCGTGTGTGTGTGTGTGTGTGAGTGCGTGCGTGCGTGCTGCAGTGCGTGCAGTCGTGTGTGTCAGTCCGCGCGGCGGCGATCGATAGCGCGTCGAGTCAGCGAGCGGCGAGTCAGCAGCAGGCGATGAGTCGGCAGCAACCACCAGCGAGCGCCGAGTCGCAGCCGCACCGAGCAGAGGGCGAGTCAGCAAGCAGGCCAGTCAGTCAGCAGCATGCAGCAGCGAGCGGCGAGCCAGGCTCGTAACACATACAGTGTTACAAATCGCTTGCGGAGGTATGCACTCTCCGTTGAGTGCCCTCTGGTCTAGTGTATTATGTAGAGGAGAGAAACAACATGACCCGGAGGAGAGATGAACGCAGCGCGACGCACGCACGGCCGACGCAC